CACTATGTAGGACAACATGCGATTGTTTCCAAAATTTACCTCAGCTTTTATCGTCAAATACCCGTCGTCTTAGGCCAATCAAAAAATTTCTATCTAATGCTGTTAACTTTTAAGTGAAGCTTACTTTTTTCCTTTTTTTTGCCACTTTAACAACAAATACGTTTCTCGGCGAAGCAGAAAGGTAAGCATGGAACCGATCCATAGACAGACTGAGTTCCTGACTTGTGTTTGTTTTATATTGGAGTTACTTGAACCCCCCAGACAGTGGTGTATGGGTCTGAGAAGATGTAACCCGTTGTAATAAGGTATTGATCGCAAATTGGGCTTCTATTCTTGTTCTGTTAGAGTTTTCCATAGATTTAATGTTATGACGCAAAGGACATAATTGTTTATGGCCTGTCTTTTGTTTGCTTAGGGAAGTTGTCGACTGAGTCTCACAATCTGACTCAAGTCGCGGTCTGCCACTGCTGTGTTGCAATAAATTTTTAATTATTTCAGGTACCATCAGATCCTTTGGGGTTTCAATATAAAAGGTTTTCCGGAATTTTTCCCTTGCGTTGAACATTGTCGGAAGCAACTTTTTCATTCCGGTATTTCCGTATATTATAGTACAGAAATGCTCGTTTCTCTGCCAAGCAAGTAGTGCTATGCAAATTTGCTATTGTTTAAGCGACTCACAATGGCATTTCAAACTAGTCCATATGTATAACAACGTTTCTGCTTTGAGAATCTTCTAGAAAAGATCCACTACAGTTGACATAGGCTACTCACAACAATGCAACGCCTAACTCCGAGAGAATGCAAGGAAAGCGCTTGAAATCACTGAACGAAACCCTTACATAGCATCGCCAGTTTAGGTTTATCGTCGTCTGCTTTCTGCGGACATCGGAGCGAGGTCTGTGATTCCAGTACAAAATTTTGGATTTCAATTGCTACAGTCAGTTCTCGCGAGCTCTTCAATTTTCCATTTCAAGCACAATCGTTTTTATCTGAGCCGCATTTTTTGGCAGAGAGCATACGCGCTGCGGTTGATGAAAGGCGTATTCCAGGTTTGTAACCCTAGATAATTTAAAAGCGTTTTGCCGCTACCTTTGTGGAATCCGAAAAGTACCCCTAATTATCTACTATTAATGCTTCTACATTAAATCCATGTCATTCTCAGAGTCCCGCATATGTTAAAGATGGCTATCTTATTACACACATATTTTATTATTTCAATTTGTCCCCACTGAAGTTGCACGTATAAAGACTATACCATTTTAATGGATGCCTATTAAATACAAAGCCACCTTTTGCTGTCCACCATCGTTTAAATATGCGCTTCAATGTTTCATGTCGTGATTAGCATTACAGTTTCCGAACCAACGATGTTGGACAGCGATTAATGGAAAATTAAAAAAATATTGGTCTGGGTGGCAATTCGATGAGGAATTCGCTCATGGTTACCCTTGTCACCCCCTTTGATTAGTGGCATGATGGCGCCACAGTGCCTTTGCACGTCGATCGTCGGTACGGTACCTGTTTACGTGCACATACAAATTAGCATTGTAGCGCTCATTTAACTACGGCAACATCTTTTCTGATATACGTATATATATATATATATATAGTCGGAACGCTTTTGAATGGTGACAGCCACGTTAGTTAAGAATAATGTTCATTGACCCAACAAATGCTATGTGCACCATGGCTCATCTCAAAAGCTTGAAAAAGCTCTTTGAAGAAAACTAGCTTCATTTCCAACTTCGATTTCACACGATCGTTTTGCTTCCCTTAGTTTTCGCCAGTCACATACGGATCTAACGCGAAGCTGGAAGGCTACGCTTCTAGAGTACGTGTATTCAACGGTAAGTACAGTCGGTATCAACTGCTACGACATATTCTTTCGATATGTCAATTTTGTCTTAATTTTCTTTGTTCTATGGATCTGTGGTTTTTCGTTCCCTTCGAAAACAGGAACGACATCAACGACTAACGATATCGGCCGTTCTCATTTCCTTTCAATTTAGAACTACTCGCAGACACTCTCAATTCAATCATTTTTTAACAGGGGTGACCCGCCTTTCCGTTACCGTTCTGACAACTGCCAAGCCAAACATGAGATACCGGGTATAAACCTAGTAAGGCGAATGGCGTCATCTTACTTTTTCAGTAATAATGTCTTATCGTAGATCAGTGCGTTAACATGTGCAGATCATTGCGATACAACAGTGGAAGGTGCATTTATACAAAAGTAAAACCATAACATCAATGGTAGCATAAGCAAGTTGGCAAAAAATATCTAACGGCTAATGTATATGTATAGTTCTGTAATATACGCAGAACGTTGTTCAAGCGCTTGTTCTGTTACCGCAGTTATGCGTTCAAACCGTAGCCTGAACAAATCCTCATGTCATGTTGATCCGAAATGGGCGAACCTGCCATCCAGAGACGTCCAATCCAGATTCTAAAAATAATACGACCTGTAATTATCCTTAGTTTATAGTCTCAAATCGATTTCCCCGTAGTGAAACTAGAACGTAAAAAAAAAACTGTTTTATTAAATTGGAATTAATTGATTAGGAGAAAGGTCGACGTATTGTTGCTTAAGGATCAATTGTCCAACACTTTATAACTTAGGCCGCGCTCAGCTATAGTTACCCGTCCATACCCAATGACTTACCTTTATGCCCAATTGCTCTCTTTTGCTTGAACAAACACATCTGACATTGACCACGTCGCGATTCACACGTAACGAAGATTATGAATTCCGGAATCGGTCGAAGGGTTGTGGAGGGTGATAGATGTTAGTAGAAATACGGCCGAAAGCGGCTTGACAAATAGTATTATAGAAGCTGTTGCTATTATGTTTTAGCTAGTGTTTATATAATACAGGATTGGATAATTACCTTAGTCTACGAGCACCTTGTCATTAGTGAGGGAATAACGGAACCATAATCACACACGTGATGTTCGTTTCAAATCAAATTTACCTTTAGACTGTACAATTTGTGTCTAATCGATAATGTATATCGAATAATACTGTATTTTTCATTCAAATTTTAATTGAAGTGTTCCTCATTTTTTTTTTTTTATAAGGTTGGCTTAGTTGACACAGAGGGGAAAGCGCCAATAGACAGACCAGTTTTATTTGTGCCCTTGGACACATGCATCACGCTAAAAATTGCTGCTTCCCGATATAAGCCTGTTCTTCTTCTACCATTAACTTTTTTGGCTAACACGTTGCTTCCACTAGTGGTCTATTTTTATGACTTTTTTTCTAAAGGTGAAAAACCTAACTGAGTCTTTTCAGCTAATTCAGGGCTGATGCCCGTTGACACCGAAGCAATCATGAAGACCGGTAAGACACCTCCCCACTGAGAGGAACAGGCTATCTAATCTAGCCCACCTCAATAGGCGATACCATCATTATTATTACGGCAACGACAACAAACAGCTAGGCATCTCGTTGCGAGCATGACCAAATCTTGCCGCCACAGTAATCATGTCCCGAATTTCTAATATTAACTTCAAATAGTAATCTGTCACCTTTTAAGGCTTCATGTCAACTTTACTGGCTGTACATGACTGACGACCACCTAACTAGTAATAGTATAACGACAACGACGACGACGATGCGATGTTTGCACCAGCGAAATAAACGCTCCGGCTATTATAGTTATCACTGAATACCTAGCCAAATGAGCAGCGCTAACAAAACTGATAATCACTCAACCCTGCAGGATATTTATCACGAAAAATTATTAGCGATATCCAACCGGCTAATCTGATGCTCGGTCGTTCATCTTCACCAGTACACCGTAATAAATGCCTTCGGTGGCTACCATCAGTGAAATGCCGAACAGAAAAATAGAATCAATCCTTGTGCAATACAATCCACACGACGTCATTCTCTTATGATATTCAAGCAAACAGAAAACGCTGCTGTTAGTTAAGAACAGCGACTTTCGATGTCTGCCGCTAACCAATGACTACACCGCGTGCTCTACCACCGGTGGCGCCCCCTGCCGCCGTCTATGAAAAACTTAACTAGGCCGTCTCACCTCTGTTTACAAACAATAGCAGCACAATAGAGGGAAGAAGGTACAGCAACAAAACATCCTTTCTTCGTTCACGCTCTCCACCAATCCTCCCCGTCGAGCTTTTATCCTTGCCAACGCTGCGAGCGGCGGTCGCGCTAGCACCGGCTAGAGCCTTTCCCTAGTAGAAGCGACGAGAAATTTTTACTGTGACCGTTGTATGCTATGGTTGTCGTTGGATTAAGTGTAGTTTGTGCGTCACAGTTTGAACACGGTTTCTGTTAGGGCTTGTCATCTTCCCATTTTCAATATTTGTGCGTCTATTGAAATTGGAAAATCCGTTGGCGTAGCTTCCACTGATTTATTATCGAATCTTCGACACGAGAATTTTATAGCGCACCGACGTCCCCATTTTATCGTAGTACTGTTCTGTAAATTTCTTTTGTGGTTTAAGTAAGGACAGGCAACTATGATAGCCTTGCCGTTACCGTCTTTTTGTCGTTTACTGACCTGCATCCATTTTATTATACAAAAAGTTATAACTAATAACTTTTATATGTTGTAAGTTATAAGCAAGTTTAATCTGATTCAATGATTGCGACGTATTTTGGTAAAATTTTTAAATGATAGTACTTTATGATATCCGCTTTTGTTCGCATAAAATGTCTCTGAGATTCTGAAATTTTTTGCAATCTGGGCGTATCGGCAGGAAAATGACACTGATAAATAAAAGCAGTATGAGATAGATAGAACAAAAAAATTACTATAATAGTCCTGTAAGAGTCGTAGGTAAGAGAATGTTAATCGCGGCTAGATTGATTTATGCAGTGACTTGCGTTTAAAGCTTAATTATCTATAGTGTGTTTTTAATGCACGCCTGATTTAGAAATATATCTTTCGACCGTTTTCTATGTTAAGTAAGCAAGTCAGCGATTTAATATGATAGACGCAAAAACATCTTGCCAGATCGAAAACAAGTTTAAATAAAAAGAAACTACATTCAGCGTTTTTCACGACGGGCTGCTGCGAAGGCAGCAGACGGACAAACTTACATGCCGATACGCGTTTTCGTGCACAGCTACTATCATATTCGTCACCCGCCTAATACTCTTTAGGAAATAGCTGTCGCTGTACGTTATATGATAAAGACTTATATATGAATATATTTTACCTTACGGTACGGGCACTGCGCATTATAAAAGGGTCCGTGCACAAGATATCAATCATGCTTAGTGTTTTATGATAAACAAATTTAAAGACTGATTAGCCAAATTCACCAATCTAAACTAAAGTAAGTTGGTCTCGGTAAAATAAAGGTTGGCCTTCATAATGCCTACATGCTACAACCTTCCAGATCTCTATATTTCGAGCTATACGTCCGACGCTGCTGTTAGACATTCCATTAGAGGTCTGGCTGCCAGCATGAAAGAGTGTGTCGATCGCTGAATTCGAATATAAATGAGCATCCTAAATTCGATTCATTTGCTGTGTTCACTCTGTCGAAAAAAGAAAACATTGGAGCACGAAGTTTATCATCAAGGCAATATCCGATTAAAAAGTAGAACTGCAGCGCGTATCTTTCTTGTGTTTTTGCCTTCCTTGTTCGACAGGTTTGTACAGACACATAATTCTGCTGATACTTTGGGGGCGTTTTTTTTTAGTTGACTAGTTACTTGTTTTTCACACGTAATCTTAAAAAATTCACTGGGTGTGGCCACACTTTTCGATCCGAGCGAAGGACGACTCGCGCGGATATTTATTTCCAGCTAGATCTTTGTAACATCCTGCACTTGGCGCTCCCAAGCACGGCGCAATGGGTTGGTGAAGCTTTTCGTTCTCTGGCTCATAACAGTTATGCCTATAGATCAATGTCGGGTCATAAATAACTTTCACTGCGTATGGACATTGCATACGTCTCATTCTACGGCTATATCATCTACGAACGCGTGGATGTGCGCATACTGAGTCGTCATTCCGTTCCGGAGAAAACGGTGCGTACACTGGGATGTTCTCACGATCCCTGACTTTCACTTGAGCCTTTGTGACGGCGACATTTCCCTGTTTTCCGAGACGTATACCATCAATTCTGTCTTCACCTTCACCCCCATAGGAGGAAAAATAACCCTTTTGCGGTTGAACCAGCCGCGTGAACTGTAGTGCGTGCGTCGTTCTCAGAGTCTTCAAAATCGACAATTACGTAAGTCTACACAACAGTACGAAACTCTTATCCCGACTAACTAGTATGAAGAAAGGCCCTAACATTATTATACTATGTAGTTGAGCTCGTCGATTCTACTTCAACAGTGATTCCCACATAGGATTTCGCTCGATATCTTTCAACGCATTATTTTGAGGAATAGGAAGAGGCACCTGTTATCCGATAAAGTTTTCATTTCTTTGCTAGTTTAAAGCCAAGACAAACGGCGTCTCGACTGCATATAATCGATATCGCTGCTAAGTCCTCTATTACCTGTAAAACACAGAAAAGAATAGTATGTTTTGTTAATTTTCTGTTGTAAAGCAATACACTTTTGGACACAGGGCGCTTGAAATCCTTTTTCTAATCGATGACGTTATAATATGATACAATACATATTATGTACACTTAATGATATATATGTGCAGGGTCACTGATATGGCGTGAGCAGAAGATGCAGGTTAATATCATTTTCATATTAGGAAAGCTGGACCGACCGGTAATTTTTTGTGTGTGATTTAGCTTCCGAACATGCAGAAGCAGATGGGAAGCTGCGCTGAAATGAACGTTAAACGTGAGAACGCAAAGTTCGTTTAAGGTTTTGTGTTGTTCGGAAGCCAAGCAGCAAAGGATAACGCGGTCGCGTGTCATTTTGAATTTTCTGGCTTTTGCTGCCAGCGATTACGGCGGCGCTAGGTGGCATGCTAACGGCGGTACTTCGAATACCTACAGCAGGGAAATGACTGCGATCTGCACAAACATGCCGAATTTTTTTTTGATGTAAAAGCAAGCGTAGAAAAATTCTTTGGCTTCTAGCTATAATTGCGTAGCAATAGTAGCCCACGCTTACCTTTCAAGGTCTTACGTAGCTGGAGATGGTTGTGGGTTGCGATGTAAAGGTATGTAATTCTTCTAGTAACATTTGTTTTGTTGTCGTAGTATTAGTGGTTTTAGCAACTATGAATAGCATTTGAGGCGATGAATATATTTCGTAGAGAAACGATAAAGAAGATACAAGTTTAAAAAAAAATCAAACACCTATATGATTTATCGCTCATCGCCCTTCCGATAAGGCACGGGCGGATATTGTTTCTAGCGTTATTTTACTGTAAATAGAATAGGTAATAAAGAAATGCCATAGTCGTAGGATAATTATTTCATTAGTAACTTGAATTGAATTGAAAATCACTATAGGGAATCATTGCAGAAAACGTTGATAATAGGCGCAGAACCTACAAACCGGCAAATTTAAAATTTGAAGTGATACGTAGTAGTGGAGTTTCGCACTTCATGGCGAAAGTAATACGATTTATTAAATAAATACGCCGTTACTCTTGAGCCATTCACGAACACAATTTGTATATTACGAAAGAACAAAGTAATCTGTTACATTGTTGCGGTCAGCAACGTCTGTAACAAGAATCTACCACTATAGAATGGAGACGTTGACTAGTAGATCCAGAAATCGTTGGTCAGCTCTTTCTGATACTGCCCCTCCACATTAATTCTTTTTCCGCTTTCAAGTTTTCATAAACGCGTCACTGTGTCAGACGCTTCGGCCTGCTCACTATGACCACGCCTCGCAAAATTTCCCGATTTTAAATCTCAAAAGTGCGTCGTTATTGCTCTAACAGCGCAGGAGTCGTACGAAAGAATCGATGGTAACATCTTGTCAGTTTCTGATTCGCATCCATAGCTAAGTGATACCAGACACATATTCAATCATTGACCACTGGACGGGCAGATACGCGGACACACAGACGTAGACACACGTAAATAGATAAATCCATTCACAACTCTCTCCCGTTCGTCTGCCGCTGATTTCGTTCCTCATTATTTCGTCTTCTTTTATCGGTCTGTTCGACATAGCAGTCCTACTATCTGATGTTGATGACGATGTAAAATATATATGGCATCGTGGCTCATGTTTCGGAGCCGCACTGCTCGAAGGCAAGGTTAGCGGCTACCGTTATTGTTGTTGCTGCGGCGGTATCAAAATGGATTCGGCTATCCAGAATCCCCTTGAGAACATCAGCGCACCGACGGCCCCGATGAAGCAGTAGAAGTGACCGCTCGGCCTTGCCGTTATCCTTCCACGCTCACCGCTGTCCGTCCACTTCTGTTATGCTGTAGCGTAAGATCCACCTCAGCAGGTGACAATTAATATCAAAATCACCAGCGCCACGTTTGGCATACGAGAAAGGGAACGATCATAGTACCATTGTTTTCGGCTCACTGGTCCCTGGCCAACTGGCTATAACGATCCCGTAGCTACAACATCAGAAACGACAGGAACGGGCCGTATGTAATCCAGACGATTTAAGCAGGTTTGTTTGATTTGCTATTTCGAAGACCTGGCACACCTTTACTCTCACTCCTCCACTATGACAGAATGTCAGGAATCGAGTTTTGTATTACTGCTTCTTTAGGCCGTCATATTCCATCATATAAAATGGCGCACTAATTAGCGACGAAGTAATCGATCACGTCCTGATTCTCGGCCATTACTTCAACATAATTTCATCCCCAAATACTGCAAAATTACCGACGAACACTCGAACACACTACGCCCCATTATGGTAAACTACAGAAAAAGCCTCAAATAAAAACGACCGTGAATCATCATAACCGGATCAACAGTTACAACAGAATTTGATTATAAAATGGTATTTCGTCGAACGACGTATAGCTTAGCTTAGCACAGATCGAAGTATTATATAACATATGCGTTCCGTATCAGCCCTTTTCCCTTTGGCATCCATACAACAAAGGGCCGTTTGCATTGATACCTGTTAATAGTGATTCGTCGAAGAACCATGACCATGCTGTTTGTTCACGTCGCTACAGAAGATATAGCAAGCAATAAATTGTATTATCATAAATAGACTAGCTTTATGCATGATTCCCATTGCATCCGTACCCATAACAGCAATCCTGGCCATTGTGGAAAATATAAATCATACGACTATTTATTTTATCTCGACCTCCGTTTCGCATTTCTTCGTTACGTAAATAAACATATTCAGAACAGATCAGTGATGCGTATATATATATATATAATATATATATATATAGAGAGAGTCAGATACTAGCGATGGTCCTCACTGGACATCGTTTGGATCGTGTTTGATGGTCCTTCTAGTAAAGATCTAGTAGGTAGGTTCTAACAGTAAAAATTAGCGAGTATACACAGTGCGAAGAATCGTTAGCATTATGGAACGACTAGTTTTGTAATAACAGATCTGATTGTTTTGCCATTCAATCAATCACTCCTAAACAATAGAGATCACGAACGAAAAAAATATATGTGGACATCTATTTGTAATGTAAAGGCAAGCGTTTATGAAACATCCGTCACAATTACTATGACTATTATCATTAACTCGTTATAATTTAATTATGCTGGTTTGCTTGGTACGTTACAATGGATCCACAATTAAGGCTCAGCACTGCACCAGGTATCTCACCGAACAAAGTAGCTGAGAAGCATAAAAATGACTTAAATCAGCTTTGAAAGAACTTCTTAGAGACAAAGCACGCATTCACCACGTCTTGACGAATAGAAAAGGCTAAGCTTCAATAGCCAAAAAATTTTTCATTTTTTCCTTCCGTTAAGCGTCTTCACATCGTGACTGCCATCTGGTGATGTTCTCCCGTTTACCCCGGTTGCCCCGCTCTTTTTGTATTAATCACAATTACTAATGCTATTGCTAACAGCGGTGCTATTTAGCAACGAAGTTGAGTCTGCTTCTTCCCTTCCTGAATCTGTTGATCCTGCAGCTATTCCATCAGGGAAAAGGCGAATTTCTATATGATCCAACAATTTTTTTCCGCTTACTATTGCCACTGCTGTTATACGTAAATGCTACGGTAAACTTGTGAACAGTTGTCCCAGCATCATCCGTAACTGTGCACACTCCTGCCGTAGTAACAAGTATATGGATATATTTATTAGCATCACCGGCTGGTGACGCCGGAAAGATGAAAAGGCGATTCATATCGTAAGTCAGGTAGATTTCTTCTCTTGAATATAGGAGAGAGGGAGGGCGGATAGGACGGGACGGACTAAGAGGGCAAAAAGTCACCATGAAAATAAAGAAAAGAGCAAAAACAGCCGTAAATATTCATTAAGTTATGATTGTCATATGGGTGATGACGACGAAAAGACCATCTTTCTGCTGCTGTTGCCGCCGCGCCGGTGATGATGGCGGTAGCGCTGTTGCTGCTGCTAATGATTTTATTGACGCTGGTAATGCTAATGCTAATTTAAGTGTCATTCTTTTAGAAGTTGTTTCCTTCGCCCGATTCGACTAGCCGTCATGAGCACATACCCTTCCCAGTAACACATACTTCGACGTAGAGGCAATGGGCAGACTGGGCATAAAATGGGTAATAAAAAACATCCAGGGAGAAGGGGAAGCTAGTAGTGAGTGCGTAGTGCGAGACTGAGGGCAGCGGGGCCAGGGAGAAATGCAACGAATGATCAAAAAGGTATTTTCGTTATTTTTTTCGTCTATAAAAGAGGAACTATATTCACCGCAACCGGAAGAAAATAGCTTGCATCGGTGACTGGATGCTGGACCATCGCTCTGCTACCTACGACAGCTAAACGTAGCCCGTACGTCACCAGCCAACGACGAAGCAGCATCTTCGTCGTGGCGGTCGTCGTTCGGCTGTTCGCTGATGTTACCTCAGCTTCGGTGGTGCGATGGGGTCATCCCCCGTAGGTTAAACTATTAGCAATGATAAAGAAGTATTGTGGAACAGCATCAGCGGCATAAGCGTCAGCAGAAATGGAAGCATGGGAATAATAATAGCTTCGGTTTTAAGCATCAAAGAAATGGCAGCCAATGGCGGAATTACAGGTAGAGCGAAAGCAGAAAGCAATTCATTATTGGGGACGCGACGGCTATCGGAGAAGAACGCCGATTTTCGGGAAAGAAACAAGGAATTCCTTTCGAATCCAAGTCACAAAAATAGCGAGAATTTAACTAGTCATCGATTATCAGTGCGCTAATGTAATAAGCTCAAGATAGTAACCAGCTGTGCTGGGCTCGATAGCAGACTGAGCCATTACCTAACGATTCTGAAGTATATTTATTAGTAGATATGAGTCAAAATGAGTCAGCCTTTCCTTATGATGGAAAAGCACCAAATTATATGAGGCAGTCTTTCACTATTAACATAGGTTGTGCGTATGTATGCGCTTAGCGAATTTAAACCAACGAGCCTTTGGTCGTGTTATCCAAGTGCTATTTTTCAGCTGACCTAGC